TTTTTTTTTTTTTTTTTTTGTTTGCTTGTTTTGCAGTTTTTGGCCGGGGCTGTGTTTAAACCGATCACCTCTGGCATAAGGGGCCAGTGCCCTACTCCTTTGAGCCACAGGCACCACCCGAGTCTATATTTTTCAACACATTTTTAAGAATATATGCACATGACTCCAAAACATAAAATAATTCTCCCTCTCTTTGAGCCAATAAAATACCACGTTTCCTAAAGATTTATGCCAACTATATTCTTCAGTAGTAATTGCTAAAATAAGAAATAAAATTGTAGACACCACACTAATCCAAGAAAGCAACCATTTTTTACTTGGAGCATAAACAAATTCCTTTTCTCTTTATATTTAGATTAAGTTTTTTTCTCAGAGATTTAAGAGTCTCAAGAAGAGATTCCTTCTACTGAGATATTTTCTTGATGATATTTTCTTAAATTCATGTTTAGTTAATTAATAGTTTTTTCATTCAGATTTAGCGTTTTCAAAATCAACCACCAGAAGAAATTTTTAGAACTGTGCATTGAACAAACCAGAGAATTGTACATTTTAGTTGGCTATAACAGGAGATGGCTAAGTCTCCATCAAACCCACATGGTTCTGGTTTATCATAAAACTGAAGTACAGACTTAACAAATATTAAATCATTGAAAGTTTTTTTAATATGTGATTGATACATATTTACCTATATGCATAGATAGAATTTGTAGGACATACATCCATTTAGTTTTACCCCCCCAGTTAGTCATCAAAATTTGTAGTTATAGGCGGCGCCTGTGGCTCAGTGAGTAGGGCACCAGCCCCATGTACCAAGGGTGGCGGGTTCAAACTCGGCCCCAGCCAAACTGCAACAGAAAAACAGCCAGGTGTTATGGCAGGTGCCTTTAGTCCTAGCTACTCAAGAGTCTGAGGCAAGAGAATCACCTAAGCTCAAGAGCTGGAGGTTGCTATGAGCTATGACGCCATAGCACTCTACCGAGGGTGACAATATGAAACTCTGTCTCAAAAAAAAAATTGTAGTTATACATTTCTGTGATTATTTAATGTCTGCTTCCTAATGGTCTCTAAAGCTCCATGAAGGCAGGGGCTGTAGACATATATTGTATATCTATATATGGTGGTCATTACATCCTGGTAAGGACTGGCTGCATGGGTATTCCACGTGTACTGTCACAGAGGTCCCGTGCTAAGCAGGACCCCATGCTTGGTTTAATGCTCTGTTGTTTCCATCTTGAAATGCATCTTAAAAAATTTTAAAAGAGAACCAAGTTTTTGTTTTGTGCAGAGCCCCACAAGCCATGTAGCTCTCATGTTACCAGTGCCTATCCCGGTGCTACCAGATAGCAGATACTAAGTATGAATTGATGAATGAATAAATGATGTTTGTACTTAATTCTAATTGCATATCCTGCTTATATGAGAATTTTAAAGGTCTCTGACTAAATTTAAGGGGGATCCAGGATTGCCAGGTGACATGGGAAAGAAAGGAGAAAGAGGGCCACCTGGCCCGCCTGGACCTTCAGGGCCTGCTGGACCCGAGGGACCCCCTGGACATCCTGGAAGTCCCGGCCACCCAGGTGAGCCTTGGCTTTACCTTTCTGGAAGCTGAAAGCATCATTGCTCTTAGTGTGGGCTTCTCCTCCCGGAATCATCTCGTAAATGGAAAGCTGTGTTTTTCATGCTGCAGTTGCTTTTACTTAACACTGAACTTCAAATTCTAAGACACTAAGAAACAGGGAATTAACCAGGAGAAACCTGAGTCTATGATCAGCCCATTCGATGGACTGAAATGTCAAAACCTGCTCCTATAAACAAAACTTCTGAAGGACTGCCTCAACAAATTCAGCCCAAAGATGTGAAATGGCCGCCCCTGGTACAATCGTACAGTGTTTGTATTAGTTTGCTGGGGCCCCTGTAACAAGTGCCACAGACTGGGCAGCTTCAACCACACACATTTATCTTCTTCTGGAGGGTGGAAGACCCAGATCAGGATTTCGGCAGCATCAGTGTCTGCTGCCACCCCTGTCCTTGTTTCGTGGGTGGCGTCTTCTCCCTGTGCCTCCCCTCTGGGTCACAATCTCCTCTTCTTATAAAGACACCCCTCATGCTGGATTAGCTCCCACCCCACTGACCTCCTTTTAGTGTAATTACTGCTTTAATAACCCTATCTCCAAACACAGAAACGTTCTCAGATACTCAGCTCAGGGCTTCACCACCTGAACTCAGGGGCGCGGGGACAAAACCTGCAACTCTGTGATTTCTACCTTTGTTTCTGACACACTTCTGGATTAAACTTTAGCTTCCAATCTGGGCTTAAGTTTTTGTATTGTGTTATTAAAAACAACTGCTGAAGTATTGGGTTGCAGCTTCATATCTTACTTGAAGACACTATTTAAACCATGTGGCTGGTGTGCACACACCGTCACAAATGATTCAACATATCTCTGCTGTGGATCTCTGGGGAAATAACAGCCAGCTCAAAAGCCTGGGTGACCTGCAAAAGAGAGCTGGTGCAGGCCGGCTTCAGCACAGTGGCTGTTAGAACCGACCATTTGGGGCACTATCATCATTTATCTTTGGATGTTCTTTTTTCCTTCCCCTCTCCCTTCATTTCTAGGAAAACCGGGTCCTGGTGGTGATTTGGGTAATAAAGGAATCAAAGGCTTCCCAGGCTCTCCAGGAATGAAAGGCCCGCCAGGTTTCATTTTTGTCTTTTCTCTGTGTCCCTGTCATGAGGGAGGCATGTTTTCTCCCGAGGTTAGAATCCCTATACGCCCACCACTCTGTAGAACGGCGCTCCCGGTTACTCAGTACCTGGGCAAAAATGTAGACAAGTGGGGTTGGATATTTCTAACTGCCTTATTCAAATATCTGCCAACCTAACTATTGCAAAGTAATAATCCCCATGATAGTATTAATCTGTGCATATTTTTCGCTGAGAATTCAGCTTCACATAACTACAGTTCTGTAAAATTAGCATCTTTAATAAAACCCTGCAAATCTCCCTGGTATTCCCCGTAAGCCCTCAGTAGGAAATAAATCCTCTTGTCATGTGCCATGGTTTTTGTGTTTCCAGGTCTTCCAGGATTCCCAGGACCTCCTGGACCAATGGGCATAAGAGGTGACCAAGGACGTGATGGAATTCCTGGTCCAGCCGGAGAAAAGGGGGAAACAGGTACAACTTGCTCATCATCTTTGAGCTGAGACTGTTATTTTGGATAGCATCATTAGTGACATTGTAATCCTTCCCTGCTCTAAAGGTTCTTCTCTGATAGAACTGATTAACTTTAACATGTTCTGGGTATGTGATAATTAAAATTCCTTCCTATATCTGTAATGTAATGAAATTAACAAAATCTTAACTTACCACAATTATCTTTTTCAGGTTCACTGGGGGCACATCCAGGCCCAAGAGGGAACCCTGGGGCTCGAGGTAGGCAGTCCTCTCTTGATGTAGTGACACACAATTCAATATGCCTGATATATAAAATAAACTTAGCCTAGTGAATTAAAGAAGTCCCAATGGGAATGTAGAACATTTACCATCTTAATGATCAATTTTAAAATGTTTAATCATTACTATCATGATAAAGGGAACCATCGTGATTAGAAACCGTGATCTGATTTTGGAATTTCCTTCTATGGAAATCTAACATAAACAGGATTCTGAAGCATCGGCCTTGTTGTTAGCAGGGTTCAGATACAGCCCCTGAAAGGGAAGAGGTGGAATTGATGGCTCCTTCCCGCGGCTCTGTGGAACAGGAGTTCTCCTTTCTAACCCTGTTATCCTCGGAGATCTGCCTCCAACTCCCCACCCAGCTTGTGGTTCTGCTACTGCTTATGAAGGGCTCCCCAGTAACTCAGCATCTCAGACACAGCAGTTGACTGAACGTGCCATTCCAAATACATTCAAGGTTTTTGTTAGACTGCAAGTCTGGTTACCCATGTCAGTGTTTTGTAGACAGGCAGCTTCTTTTAATGCTTTTCCATTTTTGCTGAGAAACCTGCACGGAGAAATATCAAATTGTTTGCACCTCTCAGCCATGGGGTCCTGAGGATGGGAGTGTTTCGTTAGCCCAGAGGCCTGGACCCACTGAGGGCTTCAAGTTACTGGTACTCATGAGAACCAGCAAAGAGCAGCTGATGCTGCTGGGAGACTCAGCGGCGGGAGCTGCCCCTTCACTGAACAGCAGAAGTGTGAAAGTAGATAGGAACTGTTCCCATCCACTTGTTCCTTAATGATCTGACTGTCCTTGTGGTTGGGCGCAGAGTTCCCTGGTCTCCCAGGGACCTCCTCCTTCCCAGCAAGCTTAAAGACTTTTCCTGTTCCATGATCTAGTTTTATAATTATGGTCCAAAGTAGAGTTGCTATGCATGCTCCTAGGCCAGGATCCTGGTTCAACCATTTGGGATGAGAACAGTAACGTTTATTTACTTTTTATTTATATATTTATTTATTGAGACAGAGTCTCACTCCATTGCCCCAGGCTAGAGTGCCATAGCCTTCTCGTAGCTCACAGCAACCTCAAACTCTGACTCCACATGATCCATCCTCTTATCTCAGCCTCCTGAGTAGCTGGGACTACAGATGCCTACCACCAAGACACCTGGCTAATTTTTCTAATTTTAGTAGAGACAGGGTCTCACTCTTGGTCAGGCTGGTTTCGAACTTTTGAGCTCAAGCAATCCTCCCAGGTCAGCCTCCCACAGTGCCAGGATTATAGGCATGAGCCACTGCCCTAGCAACACTAGCTTCTAATTGGAAATAATTTGTGATGTAAGATGGTCATACCTTAGATAATAAAGCCTCAAAAATAACAAAGAGCCTATTATGTAAGTAAATGATTCTGCGCCTCAGTCCCTCTAGGAGAACTAAATATGGAGAAAAGTTCATTGAGACTTGGAAGATATGAATTCTTTAAATTAGTTTATTCTCCAGAATCTTAAGAAGAAATCATATTGCAGAGCAACTCACCATTTTAACAAACATGGAACATATAATCCAAGACATGGTGGAGCTTCAGGTCATTGTCACACAAAATCAGCATGGTAGATCTTGGAATGAGCTAAACACTTTCTTTTAAAAGCAGAAATTGGCTCGGCGCCTGTGGCTCAAGTGGCTAAGGCACCAGCCACATACACCTAAGGTGGAGGGTTCAAATCCAGCCCGGGCCCGCCAAACAATAATGATGGCTGCAACTGAAAAAAAATAGCCAGGTGTTTTGGCGGGCGCCTGTGGTCCCAGCAACTTGGGAGGCAGAGGCAGGAGATTCGCTTGAGCCCAGGAGTTGGAGGTTGCTGTGAGCTGTGATGCCACAGCCTTCTACCCAGGGGGACAGCTTGAGGCTCTGTCTCAAAAATAAATAAATAAATAAAAGCAGAAATTACTGGTATGCGAAAGCCAAACAATGTGAATAGACATAGGGCTAGTCAAGAGTCATTGGTTTTATTTTTATCATCACCTAAGTCTTTACTATATAATAACTCCCCAAGCCCTTCCCTGAGCCGTCAAAGTTATTTCCCCTTCTCTCTGTCCCTCCTCACACCTGCCTCCTAGTTTCATGCTGTTTACTATTTCCAGAATAACACAGAGATGAGAAAGAGTAGGAAGATATTATTTTCAATTCCTACAACATTTTTTATTTATGAATGTCAAAGTACAATGTCTTAAAGTTTGGGGGGGAGAAATATTAATATTAAGTTATGATTTTTTTTTTTTTGAGACAGAGCCTCAAGCTGTCCCCCTGGGTAGAGTGCCATGGCATCACAGCTCACAGCAACCTCCAACTCCTGGGCTCAAG